CAGCTCATAGTAGATGACACCCTCCTGATCCCACCAAACATGCAGCATCGTCTTCCATCTGAAACGATTTAGTCTTGAGGAAGATGTTGATGGTTGGGCGGGATCAACCTAAGATTTCTTACGTTTAGGATTCTGAAAATAGATCCACTTTTCATCGCCTGTCACAATCCGATGCAGGAACGACTTTCTTTTTTATCTGACAAGCAAAATTTGCATGTGTTTTGGCGTCGCTCCATCTGCCTATCGTTCAGTTCATGCGGCACCCATTTTCCGATCTTTTGAATCTTCCCTATGGCATGTAGCCGCATGGAAATGACTGTTTGAGAAACATTCAATTGCTCAGCAAGCATTTTTTGCGATTGGATATCGTCCTCGTCCAAAAGAGCCTGCAATTGACAGTCCTCAACCTTTCTGGGCCGATTTTCACGCTTCTTGTCACTCAGGTCAAAATTTTTGAACCAGCGAAACCAATCTCTGCACATTGTTTCCGATAAAGCATTGTCGCCAAAGGCCTTCACAAGCATTCAATGCGATTCGGCAGCGATTTCTTCAAATTGAAACAGAAAAGCAAAGCTTCCCGCATATGCTTTTTTTTTTAGCAAAAAACTAGAAATGATTACGAAAGAAAAAATGTATGTTGTTGTATGAAATTGCTGATGATGTGCACTGGTTAATGTTGACAGATGTCAAACACATAAAAAAAAGTGTGTTGTGTGCCCAGCTTTGTACGCTCACTAATGCCACCTATAGCAAACCACTTGAGCAAACAGCAGATTTAAGCTTATACACCTGGTAATGTGTTTCCGTGTTTCCGTGGCTGTAATGTAGTGTACAGTTTTATGTACGAAGTGGGGTTTTGCTACACGATTTCAAAAAGACGGCATAGAGCCAGTGTGATATTAAAAATTTGAAAATAAAAGTCAACCGGCAGCAGAATTAAACACGATAGCATGAAGTACCATGGTGTATATACACTTTTTGTAGTGCAACACTAATGCAACATTTACACGCAACTGGTATAGTGCGAGGTTACACTCAGTATATCTCAAGAGAAAACACTATTAATATCTGGAACAGTCCAATCTTGACGAAGACAACTAAAATCTTTTTTGAATCTCAAATAGTTATAAGTAATATAAGTGATACATATTAATCGATGAAGAGGGAAAAGAGAGATACTCAAAGTATGAAACAAAAGGTTTTAATTGCCTAACAAGGACTTAGCCGGATTAATGAACTGTATCAAATATATTTTAGATATTGCTTCAATGTCTTTGGTCTGGTACAATCCGTTACCGCCATCACGAGGAGATGCCATGGACGCAGAGAAATTGGATAACCCGGGAAAAAATATTTTATGTATAATTATATTTTATGTATAAAATTATATAAAAATATGTATAATTTTATATAATTATATATATTTATATATAATTACGAAGGCAAATCAATAAGTTCTTAGAAAATCTTTTAGAAGGCACTCGCAGTATCATGTCACATTACTTTTTGACAAGTAGCATCTCTCAGCTGATTACTGTCAAATTTTGAGCGAAATTCATCGCGTGGTTTCATTTCTGTAGACGATTAAAGCGAACAATCTTTATATTTTTTGTAAAATGGAAAAAAACGAATTTCGCAGTGATCAAACATCTACATATGAAAGGTTTAACGCCGAAAGAAATCAAAGCCGTGTTGGATAATGTTCATAGCACATCTGCACCAGCGTTTGCGACTGTATACAATTGGGTGAATGAATTTAAACGTGATCGTACATTCACATGTAGTGCATCTCATTCGGGACGTCCAATTAAGGCTGGTACGCCAGAAATCATCAATAAAGTCTACGTATTATTTTGACTGATCGACGAGTGAAAATGCGCGAGCTTGTTGAGGCCACAGGCATATCACATGGCAGTGATTTCAATTTTACACGAATAATTGAAAAAGCTATTGACAAGATGCCGCGTTTGCTCACTGTGAACCATAAGCGCGACCGTGTGACGATTTCAAAATAATGTTTGGAGATGTTTCAACGTAATCCAGAATTTCTGCGTCGACTTTATTCCTTAATCGAGTTAAATGACTCGCTGCACAACTAACAACTACCCAGCAAACATTTTGTTCCTAAATTGTTGCCAAATTGACATAAAATTCCAATGGAATTAAGTACCAAAACCAGAGCCTACTGTATCCGTAATAAGACATGCAATATAAACCATATCTGAAAATATATTCTCAAATTGGAGCCAATATCAAAGCAGATTTAGTATTAATATGATCACAGATCTACACCAAATGCACATCAGATCTATAATCAAATATGCTGACTATGAAGAATGGCACAAATACAACCCAAATACAGTCTGTGGCCAAATATACCAACAGAGGGATACCAAATATAAACATACAAATGTAAAATAATTTCGACCGCATGAATTAAAATACATAATGTAAGTGAAATAATAAATTAATTAGAAATATATTAAGAAGGGCTACAAATCCTATTAAGAATAAAAATAAAATATAAATAATAAGCAAGATAAAAAGCGCTAAAATAACATATTACAAGAAATTAAAACAAACGGCGTTTCGACTTCGATCAGTCATTCTTAATTAGACATGTAATATTTTTAAGTAAAATATTTATATAAATTTAAAAAGTCAACGGCTAATGATAATTGAAAGATAATTAAATGAGACGGAATACAGATTTCGGCTTTGATGTAAAAAATAATGACATAATTACATCCTATGGTTATCGCATTGGTATGAAAACGCCTATTGTCAAATCCAAAAAGACCAATTTCTAGCAATGTCATTGTGCATATGTCAGAACGGAGATTACTCGCTATTATCGTGTCGCAATTACAATAATTTGATAAAAATATATGAGGTCAGTATCGGTAAAAACGATGAAAAACTCAGTCTGTTAATATAATAATAGAAGAATATAAAACAAGATAATTAATCTTGCTTATTATTTATATTTTATTTTTATTCTTATAGTTCGTAGCCTTTTGTAACATATTTCTAATTAATCAAATATAATCCAGTTTTATTGCTGAAATATAATATTGTTGTGTTTTTAGAATGTGATATTAATCAATAATTACACAGTGCGACAAAATAAATTATTGGAACGCGATTCCGAATCTGAAGATTGATTGTGAGAAAATCAATAATTATTGATTAACATCACATTTTAAAATACACACGACAAAGTTATAAAATAGTAAAAAAAAAACATTCGGAAGCCCCATTCGAAAGAATTTGGGAATCTCTAGAGGACTCGCCAACTTAATTATTTGCATTTATCTTTTTTAGGATTCCTGGACTTTTTACGAGAAGCGAGTCCATCTCGTGGCGGGATCGCATATGACAATGACAGATTTTAATCAATTTTTGACGACAATTTGCCGTAAAGTTAGATCAGTAAGATTTGCTCAGCTTTTGTCGTGAACTTACTGTTATTAAATTGTTATTTATAAATCTTGTTTGGTTTTTATCGACAATTTGATCTCATGTTTCTTATTTGCTGACATTAAAATTTGCATTAAATTTGTCTTGTAGCAAGATTTTAGAAAATTTGTTTGCGATAGGATTTAGTTATCTGAGAGCGTATTTAATAGAAGTTTGTTAACAATACTAACAATAACAAAGTATATTTCCTATTTGCAGCAAATCGGTAAACATAATTTGTTGTCAATATTTGCAGAAAAGATTATAGAGGTAGTAAATGCGAAAAATTAGTCATCTATCTAGGTTAAAACTGGTTAAGTCTTCCGACTACCGACTCATTGTAGAATTAGCATAATAATTAATATCTTGATTCGCAGAGCAAAGCGACACTTTTTTGCCAGATTCATTTATTTCATGTAAAAACGCGTAATAAGCTTAATTTTATTGATTTTTGAGATATAACTAAATTTTATTACCTCGGAAACGCGACACTTCGACTGCGATTCCATTCATGCGTTCTTGCTATTATGGTTTACGAGCGGAATGAGCTTTCCTATTTCTGTAGATCGTAAGCGAAAAGAGAGGAATAGAAGAAATAAATAATAAGCACCAATAATGATGCAGCAAAAATAACTAAACTCAATAAAATGTTTGCATCGGCATGATAGCTAAATACGTGTTAAGGTATATCCACACAACTTGCATAGCCGCATAAACGTATGCATAAAGAAATCTAATCATATTTTATGTGCGACTTTATAAAAGAAATGCGATTGGATAATTTTTTTTATGCATATGTTTATGCGGCTGTGCAAGTTGTGTGGATATATCTTTAATGTATATTTTCATCAGCAAAATAAAGTAAAATATTTCACCAGCAGTCAATTAACAACAGTAATTGTATTTTAAACCCAATTTTGTAATATGTCATGCCGATATAATTACATACTCGTTACATCATCATTAAAATTTAATTCGTTTGAATCTTGTTTGTTTCTGGCTTGATAATTAGGATTTCAAAAAATGTTCAATAAAATTCCACTTTTCAACTCACTATTCACAGCTATGTGCTGTTACGTTTTCATAGTATAAGTATCGGACATTTTAATTAAGACGATTAAAATATAGTATATAATTTTATCTAGCGATATTTCTTAGACTATTGATTGGTCATAAAAGTCCACTTTCTTTCGTTCATTTCAGATTTAGAGAAATAGCCCATTCTGCTCGGAAACCATAATAGCAAAAACACGGAATTGCGGTCGGAAACTCGCCAGTTGGAATTTCGCATTTCCGATTGGAATCGCAAAATTTTCATAATAGGTGCCCAGATGGTGGATTAATGATTACGATTGACGGTTGCCCGGTTCCACTTCGACCAATCACGTAGCAAGTTAATCGTAATTGGCTGAAATAGAACCGGACAACCATAATTGTCAATCAGTCATCTACTTCCCTTAGTAACGCGGCAAATCTATAGAGAAGCAGGATTAAAAACAAAATTTGAAAAACATACTTATGACAAAGTAAAAAATACTTACATGCAGAAACAGTTCATAGTATAGCTGATAATAGTCGCTGCAGTGTCGTCTCAGCCATTTCTGCACATCTAATACATTCCATAAATACACCGGACGTGGTCGAGTTGTCTTGCTCTGAAAATGCAACAATTTATACATTGGAATAATCCTGGTGGAGCCTAGCGACGCTAAAGTACTTATTTTCGAAAGCTTGGCAGCACCAAGTATATATTATACTTTTAGGGATACATCGGACATTCCGAAAAATATCCGAAAAGTATCCGATATTATGCTTGGCGCAGGTTATAATGAAGTACTACGTGAGGCAACCGCTTGCAATAGAGTTCTTAAGATATACTGTCTTTCGCTATAAGAGATTATTTATTCCCGTTTCCGCTACATGGTGTCAAAAGTGGGATCGTTTACGCGAAGATAAAAATTATGTGAAACTAGTCTTTGAGAAGCAAGGAAAAAGATTTTCTTAAATCGCGTACAGACTTGTATCAAAACGCCGTTACAAACTGTTCGCGAAGAAGCCGTCGCAAGAAGAACGGCGTGCAATATGAATGATAGCTCGAACGCTATCACGAACATCATTGCATAAAACGATGTAAAGATTTGTATCTGAACGCCATCGCGAACAAGACGTGTGCAGTGTGAACGCTGTCTCAAACGCTGTCACGAACATCATCGTGTAACATCGGGTCGATCGGCCGAGAAGTTGATTTTTCGCCGCCACATCAAAGAAATATTTGCAATTAGCTGTGTACAAATTTGTATCAGAACGTCGCCGCAAATACTGCTGTGAACAAGACGGCGTGGTAGTATCAGTGTGGATAGTATCTCGAGCGTCATCGCGAACATCGAACCCTCCTACCAAGGAGGGATCAAGGAATTAATTTTTTATCAAACAAATCATCGCACTTTCATGCAGTTCTTCGTACACTTCGTTTGATTCTACTTCTCAGTTTGCATTCTCGGCGTGAGTGCAGTGATCGAAGGAAAAAAATTTCTTGTTAAATGAAAAATATAGAACACTTGAATTGTTATGTTAGAAAACAAAGCATCAATTTTTGTACATACATCTATCACACTAGGCTCAGAAACTAAATTGAAACTAATAAAAATGGAACATCATACGCAGGACGTTCGCGATGAAGTTCGTGACAGTTCGCGGCGATTACAACAAAGCATCAATATGATAGCGTTTGCGACGGCTTTCGCGACGATATTCGTAACAGCATTCGCGAACGGTCAGACTGCCTACATCAGTGAATCATTTAAAACCTTATAACCTTATTTGTAGAAAAAATTTCTTTCGAAAATGCTTAGTTTTTTCTAAATATTTCATCATCCCAGGACTTTTTACTCAGCCTGTATAATGCTTTAATAAACACATCAGTGTAATAAATACTTGAATTGAATTATAAATATAGTGTCACAGTTCATAAATACAACTTTATGCAGCACACTATGAAACATCATTTAAGATTATAGATATATATATAGGGTTTTTCAATAGAGACGCTTGAAATTTGTTAGATCATAGTAGCCATGTTGTTAAAGTAACATCTATTAAATTTATTGTGAATTGTTTAGTAATGTTTCCATGGCAAATCACCATGGAAAATCATAGTGTTGAGCAACGTGTGCAAATCATAAAATTTTATTATTAAAATCAGTGCTTCGTTCGAGAAACGTTCATTACGTGATTTTTATCCTCGCCACAACTATCCTGCCGAATCGACTATTCGTTTGGTGACCAAATTCGAATCAACCGGTTCGATAAATAATCAGCCAACACCAGTACATCGCCGAAACGCAAGGTCTGCTGAAAACATCGCTGCTGTGAGAGTGTACGGGAAAACCCGAGGCAGTCAATTTCTCATCGTTCACAAGAACTTGACCTTTCTGCGACTTCAACTTGGCGAATTTTGCGTTAGAACTTGGGTCTGCACCCCTATAAAATTCAACTGACCCAGGAACTTAAGATAAACGACTATAGACAACGCCGTGTATTCGCTGATTAGGTTCTGGAGCAGTTGAAAATTAACAAGCAAATTTCGCCAAACAAATCATCTTTAGCGATGAGGCCCATTTTTGGATGAATGGATATGTGAACAAGCAAAATTGTCGAATTTGGAATACCAATTCACGCGAGATACACCAGCTCCAAATGCATCCCGAGAAAGTCACTGTTTGGTGCGGATTTTGGTCTGGTGGAATCATCGGTTCATATTTCTTCCAAAACGAAGCGGGCGTTGCCATAATCATCAACGGCGAACGATGATAAGAGATCGATGATAAGCAACTTCTTGTGGTCTAAAATGGATGATATGGATATCGATAATATGTGGTTCCAACAGGCCGCTACGTGCCACACACGATGGACATTCTGCACGAGCGATTTGAGGGCATAATTATCTCGCGCAGCGGCGAACTGGCCACCGAGGCGATTTAACGCCTTTAAACTTCTTCCTTTGAGGCTATCTTAAATCGCAGGTCTATACGAATAAACCGCAAACAATTAATGCTCTCAAAGTCAACATAACAAACGCCATCCAGCAAATTCAGCCAGATTTATGTGAGAAAGTCATCGAAAATTGGACCGCCCGAATACGTGTCACCAAGCAAAGCCGCGGCGGACATTTGAGCGATGTTCCATACTTAATAAAATATTCTTTCATATAAAAAAAAATTGAGTGGATATCTCACACACAACTTGTTTTATTTACATTTAAAAATCGAGCATCTTTATTGAAAGACCCTTTATAATTATATCCAAAATTTAGTGATTCAACAGCATTCAATATAATCTTACAATAAGTATTTAAAATACAAGGTTTTACTATATATACGAACGGTGAGCTCACCACAATAGAATAGAAAATCTAACGAATATTAAAACTATAATACGAACAGAAAATCTAACATGGAGTCATAAACAAAGAAAGAAAAGTGATCTTCCCGATTTTCAACTTTTATATTTTCATAAAATTATCAAATATTGAAATGATGTTCTCTAAATTAGCACACAATCTAACAGTATATTTGTGTAATAAGGCGGTAATAGAGAGCCTTATAGGGAGAGATTGGCAAACTTCATCACCTGACTCAGTCTTCTCTAATTGGACATAGTTACCAAAACTATATAGGACATTCATGGATGCAGAAATGAGATAGAATAAATTAGAGAAGTTGAAAAAATTTTTTTTATCGACCACTTAGCTCAAAAGCTTCCATTTCATACCAAAAGAACACCCCTAAATTTTTATCAAAAAATATTAAAATTTAGAGATAGTTAGTAGACGATTTTTAAATCAAAGTTTTGATTTTCTTTAATATATGTTTAATTTGATACAAAAATGATTTAATTCGGATGTCGTACTGTATGTTTTTTTAATCACTGAACACGATGCAAGTTCATTTAACCGATATACGCTTTAAGAAATATAACCTGATTAAATATGAAAAAATGATCAAATTTCGAGTTCAAGATCGATTTTAGCAAAATCCCAAGCGTTCAAAATTGTGTCATTTTTTTCATATTAAAAATTTTTCATATTCGGGCTGTATTTCTTAAGGCGTATAACGTAGGATTAAATCAGGGTTACCTCATAAAAATAACTCGTTTTTTTTCCTAAAAAATACTTGTTATTCGTTATTGCAAAAGTAACTCGTTACCGTTATTGTTACTCAAAATATAATGAGTCGTTACTTTTTCGTTACTTTTTTTCTTGACATTAATAAAACATTATATGCAGATTTTTGCGGTAAAAAAGATGTCAAAATTTTATTTTTTAGTAGAGAAATAGAGCTCAAAAAATATATGTCTATAGTAAACATTGCATTATTTTCATGAATGAAATAGATGCTGTCACATAACATATAAATAAATTTATTTTTCGTATTAATTTTAATAAGATTCTTTAAATTAAATGTTTAACTCTTAATATATATATAATTTTCTATATGATTCGTTGATGTGTGGTTAATTTCTCCAAACATACAATACAAAAATTATGAATAGATTCTTATATACATTTCTTATATATATTTCTTATATATATTTTAACATCTTTAAAAAATATTTATAAAATTGTATATTTAAAAAGGAGAAAAAGATAGAAAGAATTACTTAACCAGGTGCAATATTTCGAAGAAAAGAAACAAGATGCGAATGACTTATCGTGAATACTCTAAAATGATATTATATAATAAAAAAATATATTATTTGTAATATATTTGTAATATTATTTGTAATCTGCTATAATTATAAACATATATTTAATATGTAAGATGAGAATATAACACAGAAAAAAATTTTATTTTAAGAAATTAAATAATTGTAAAAATAAAAAAAATTGTGATTATATCTGAGTTAGTCTATATGTGTAAACTGTGAATACAATGAAAAAAAGGTGATCGCGATAGCGAAAAATGTGACTTAGACAGCTAATCAGACTGTTAATGTTTTAGGATTATATAGTTACACATGACTAAACTTTTATATAGTTAGAAATAAAGCAACGATAAAGTAACTAGTAAAATTGTTACCGTTATCCCAAAAATGTAATTACATTATCATAAACATTAATAACTCAAAAGAAAATGGAACATCGTTATCTATTACCGAAAAAAATAACTTGTAACGGTAAGGACGTTACAAATAACGCATTATTTGCCTATTCTGCTGTAATGTAACCTTAATATTAATATTTTTAAGCGATTTTAATCACGCGCATGTAAGATTGCAGAGGTGTGAATATTTCTGACACAATTTGTGAATGTAACATGATTATACAAATCAAATATCGATTTATCATCTGCAGTTTCAAAAAATGAATGTATGTACCCTCAGAAAAGTAGATCTTGCTATACAGTTTACATCTACTTTTTCAGTGCGCGCAGCATTCTGTGGTTATAAGTTTTGAGCTGTCATCTCCTCTTTCAAGTTTCTTTCTGATAATATGTGTCCAGTCCTGACTATCTCTATACTTTTTATTGCACACATTGATTGCGTTCAGCAGAACATAACAATTTTGCCGTTTTATGATAAAAAAGATGAATCGTTCTAATGGATGCAGTGAATTGAAAGGAGTGGAGTTATATCAGCCAATTAGAGCTTGGCCAATTTGTCTGATTCAAAATGGCTGACGAAGCAGTCAGTTGCTGTAAGCATTATACAAGATAGAAGAGTTATTTTGTGTATACATATGAAGACAATTTCGATTGCATTATGCCGACGTAATCATGGAAAGTCAGGGGAAAGTCAGGGGAAAGTCAGGGAATTTTCTCCGTTCAAATTTGTAGACACTCTGGAAAATGTATTATTGAATAGAACACAAGTTCTTTACCAATTTCCTTATATATAAACCTTTTTTCCTCAAATGGAAAAGAAAGATAATTCAGGAAATATAATGTTATTTATAAATATTATTTTTTTATGTTGTTTTATTTTATGAGCTTCATAACTCGCGTCGAATGAATTGTCCAATCTCTAATTGGTCAAAATCTCGGCCATTATGCGTATTGGTTCACCTTTCTAATTCATCTTACATTATGGTTTTATGATTGCTGAAATAGAACTATTCCTCTTGATGTAAAAGCATAATCCAATTAGCGCGACGAAAACTTCCAACAGTTAAATAAACTTATATTAACAACAAAATAAACGTTCTGCTGAACGCAACCATTGCATTATTGCATGGTCGTGACAGATTTCCTATCCTGAATAGTTGTCAACTTTAAGGCCCGTATTCAACGCGTTTACAATGATGTTAGCTAATATGCTATAATTTATTATTTATTACGCATACTGTAGAATTTTAGAGATAAAAGCGTTCTGAATACGGGCTTAAAGCTTAATATCTCGGTTCGCGGAGCAAAGCAACACTTTTTTTCTACTAGATTCTTTCGTTTTATACAAAAAAACGTGTCAAATGAGTCTAATTTCATCAATATTGAGTGCATCCAGAAGCACGACCGCTTACTAAGAGCTCAGTGAGCTCTTTTACTTGTTTGATCTATATTTTTAGATCTAAAATATGCCAATCAAATACAAGAACTCACTGAGCAATCGTGTTTCTGAATGCACCTATTGAAGAAGGAGTAGAATTAAAATAAACATTTACCAAAACTTCTAAGTAAGCAATCTCCGATAGAATAGTCAAATCTTCAGTGCATGACCTTCGGGCTCCAATGGAATCGAATATTCAAGGAGGATAAAATAATATATCATGCGCATCACGCATAAAATAGAATCACGTTCTTCAATATTTAGATGAATAAAAAAAGTAACTTTATATATATATATATATATATATGTA